AACATTAATAATTTTAAAAAACAGTGAAATTAAGTATTAAAGTTGAATAAATATATTTACCAACTGTTTTCTTCAAACTTGGAAGTTCAACATCTGAATCCATGACATCTAAATCACACATCTCATCATTACCAGGATTTTCTTCTACCTCCATACAGTAGGATGAGTGGTGGAATAATGATACCTGTTGTTTTATCTCGTACTGTTGTCTAACTAATTTCTCTGCATGTAAGGTTTCCTAAAAATTTTATTAAAATTCATAGAAAATATATGCGAAGCAGGTCAATATGCACAATATGGAAATATTCGGATTTAATTACAGATTGACTATCAGGTAAGATATCAGAAACATATCAAAATTGTAAATGGGCAGGTTGCTGTGGTTAGTGGAAATGATAGTTGCCATATAATGCATATTTGATATTTCCAAGGGTTGAAACCCCCCTAATAGTACTAGATCTACATTTAAATTATAAATAGACATCAATCAATAGGCTACATGTAGTAGGCTAGGGCCTACAAGCCATTAATCATAATTGTAAATGATGATGATTTTTAACAGATTCAGAGATTCTCTTGATTATTTTCACTCTTTTTTTTTCTTCAAAATACAAAAAGAAACTAACCTGCGACTTTTCACGAACTAGATGTCTAGATTCTCTCGCAACCTGCGACACGTTCTTCTCCGTCTCTTTGTAAGCAAAAATGGTAGGAGAATAATTACCATCGGTAGGTTCATAACCATGCCAGCCATCAAGAAAATGTTCCGAGCAAATCCAAGTATTATTGTTCGGTAGCCAGTCCTTTCTATTCACGGCTTTGATCCAAGCATTGCGCTGTCTTTTATTCTTCGGAAAACGGAAAAAACTTATGCCTCTGGACTTAGCTTCAACATTAAACCTGTTATGACACTTGTAAACACAGCAGGTTTTCACCATTTTGACGTGCGTTTGTTTACATCCGTGTTGCTAGCCACTCATAGGTGTTTGTGCGCATGCGCGAGCAGGGGGCGCTACGTTATCGTGAAAAGGCCTATTCGAAGTGTAAACAAACGAGAGTTATTTCCCTTCATTTATTGGACACAGACAACCACTGTTATCCAGGACAAATCGCCCCCATATTGCAGTTAATACGCAAATTGAGCTTTACGTACCGTCTTTTTATGAAATAAAAAATTATTTTTGACTTTCAGTTCTAATGTAGACAACAACATATTTCTTTGCGAAGTAGACTAATTTATCCTTAATTATACCCTTGGGCCCTTTTGTGTAACTGTAAGTGTAGTACTAGTAGTATCACATCATAATTTTTAATGCATTTTGGAACAATTTACGGATACACAAACACAATGACACAGATACGTATTTCGGCCGAAGGCTATCCATGTCTTTTGTTTATTTCAAGAAAAAGAAGAGTTATTGAAAAAGAAAACAGATGAGACGCAAACCCCAGGCGAGCCGGATGAGGGAGCAAAAGAAGACTTTAAGACGCCTTTACAGCGCTTCAGACCCGGGTATCTTTGGGTATCAGATCTGACCAAACAGAACTGGTGCGAACAACAGTTATATTATTCGTTCACTGTACCCGGTGTCATGGTGGAAGATAAGCCTTCAATGAAAGAAGGCTCCAGTCTTCATTTAGCTAGAGGTAAACTAGACCGAAACTCTATATTATGATAATAATTGACAATTGACATAATATAGCAGTCCTGTCATAGAAATCTCACTGTCAGAACTTCAAATATAACATCAACAAGTCTTAGTCGAAAAGTAGGCCAAAACAGCGTGTATCGAGAACACCGATAGCTTCCATTTACGCCATTCCA